TCTTAACAAGCACGATGGGAGCACCCCATGGACTGGATGAGGGCGAAATGATGTCGGCAGCCAGCATGTCATTAACAGCCGACTGCACATGTTCCTTCTCGGCTGGGCTCAACCGGAAGGGATTCTGCCGAATTGGGGCCGCATCACCCGTCGCTATGTGGTGGCGCAACAGGTCTGTGCAGCCAATATCATATTTGTGTCTGCTAAATACATCGGAAAATTCGAGTAGCAGGCCCCTCAGCGCTCCCAATTGCATACTAGACAGGTTACTGGAACCCGCACACAACGAGTCCAACCACTGTTGGTCCTCCCCCGATGAAGGATGCGGATCCAGGGTAGAATCAACATGTGCAACGAGCTGCTCATCCACGGGCACCGGCGCCGCGTGAGCAAGCATGGTGCCCTGTGTAATAATGGCTGGCCGTGACCCCGCGTTCAGAACCATAACGAATGGATCCCTGTCCGCCCACACCATTGTCTGAGCTACCGCCAAGTCGAGGCCCGCAACAGCTTTGTTTGACGGCCCCAACAGAACACCCTGTCCTGCCGTATCCACCCCAAAGGGTTTTCGTAACCGAAGGGGTACTAGCATCTGCGATCCCGGGGACACGTGCACCGTCTGAGTTGCCAGCGCCTGGACCATTGCACAAACCGTGCGTAGTTTGGTAGGACTTGCCAAAAATGCAATACGCCGACCCGATGGAACCTCGATACAGCTCTGATTGACGAGAATTTTAATGAGCATTTTAGCCAAAAAGTCCGTGCCCAGTAAACATGGAACTGCCAGGGAATATGAGACCAAAACAGGACCCGCCAATTTAAAATCTCCGATACAAATGGTCGCCCAAATCTGGCCGATAATCCCCAAGGAGCCCCCGTTCGCCGCGTTACATGGTACGTCCACCGGGAGTAGGGGTCGACATTGGACAGGGAGGATGTTATAAATAAGGTCCGAAATGTCAGATCTGAAACACGGCCGAATTGATTCTTCGGCCGTTGCCGATCATAGCTACAACTCGGTGGGCTCTCATGAAATTGTATTTTCCGAGACCAAGGTTCTCTGCAAACCTCCTGGCTACCATCAAAGGTTTGTACACGAAGCCATACAAATATACAAACACACACATAATTTCAACCGTGATGACGGTTACAAACTGAGTAATCATTGGAAAGATGTGATTAACCATGCAAAAAAAGATTTAACTACACTTATTTGCCAATCTTATTTGACAGACAACCATCACAGTTTTACCATGTTTAGTGGTGGTCTCCCTGTTACGGGTTGAGTCACAAACCGCACCTCTCCATAACAAAGGCTCAGCCTTTGTTATGCAGTCTATTCTTAGTCTTAAGCCTCACCTTACCATATTAATAAAAAGTATGCGGCCCTTGCCCCACCACCTTCTCCAACCATTATATAAACGGAGTGGTAGCTCCTGCAATCTCTCATTTACTTGATACAGCTGTCGTGGCTGTGACGGTACCACCTGAAGACGGAAGTTTGTGTTGCCTCCGAAACGTCGTGATTTTTATTTTCTTTTATTTTACTTTTTAATGTTTTTACCTACGTGACTTTACCGAAAAAACCTAAGAATATGGACCGAGCATGTGTGGTGCCGCGACTTGCCAGGGTAGCTGGGATGACTTGGGCCCTTGGTCGTCGTCCGGACGTGGTCCCATGGCGCGCTGACGTGGAGCCCAGCACCCGGACGCGACGTGACCCCGAAGGCCGCAGTTGTAGCACATGACGAGAAACGTCGCAGGTTTCGGTTGCTCCAGCTTGCGGGTCGATCGCAGGGGTAAACGACCTCCAGATCTCCAATCCCCCGGTCTTGCCACGGCAAAGGCCTCCTCCCGAGGCGGAACACCCTGGGGCTCGGCGACCATCGAGGCAGGTGTTGCGACTCCAGCCGATGCACAGACGACCGTCCACTTCCGTTTCAGGACCTCGTGTACATGGATACTCGTAGCAACCCGCAAAGAACAAATGTCCACCTCGTCTGCCGTATTGATGGGGACCCCCAGGTCCTGGGCCAACGCCAGCAGCTGCTCCATCAACATGGCGTCCTTCCCCTCCTCGTCCATGCGGGGAAAGGCAGCGTCCGCAAGGGCGAGCAGCGCCGTGCGGTAGGCGAGCGGAGTTTCCGTGTCCCCTTTCCGCCGCTCGTAGAACTGGTGGCGGCAGGCCGAGGGCGGTCCATACACCCTGGCCATGAGGCGTAGCGTGGCTTGGAGCGTGGAACGGGCCGATCTTGGGGCGGACCTGAAGGCCACGAGCGCGTCGTCGTCCAGCGTCGCCGGCAGCGCACGTAAGGCCGTGGCGTCGGACCACCCCGACATTTCCTGATGTGCGAGAAATCTTCGCTGGAAGGCTCCCCAGTCGCCCCCCTCAGCCTTGAACGCCGTCAGCGCGGGAAGTCTTTGTTGGAACACTTGGTCGTCCTCCGACAGATGATTTTCCCACGCCCCGCCGTTGTTGAGAAGAATGGCGGCTCCCTTGGCGGGTGTTTTGTGGGGACTTTTGGCGCGCGCTGATGACGCGGGCTGTGAAGAGTGGAGGTCCCCGACCACGTGGTGCCGACGATTCCCGCCAATCGATGCGTGATCCGTAAAATTGGCGCCAATTTCAAAATTCGAGGCCCGGAGCGCATTCTGGTGGGAATCTTCGGGCTGCGCTCCCTCCTCCAGAAGTGGTGATTTCCGCCACAATAGAAGCCGCGGCAAGCAGCAACTCCGCCAGGCGGGAGTGCGCATCCGGGAGCCTGGTGTCGGACCCAAGCGAAGCGTCGGGCATCCCCGCGAGGTGCTGCGGCGTCGGCATCTCCTCCTCCTCCGCTCCCGAAGCTTGCTGTCCCGGTACGTCGTGGTCGTCTTCCCGATCTCGCTCGTGGGTACGAGTAGTCTTCCTAGTATCCATTCTTTGAAGATAGTTTAACTTCTGACGCCAGTTGTAATATAGTAATTACGGCAGGAGACCACTTGACGGGTAGCACACTTTTATTAACATCTATTTAGCCACAGTAACACGTGTAGCCGAACTACAGCCTATGCTACGCTACGCGTTCCAACCCGGCTACACACACACGGGCTCTCCGGCCCCGTAACTTCCAGGGGAAACTCGCAGACCCACCCTAGCTGGGGTATGGGTCCCGACCACTGGGTCCCACAGCCCGGCCCTCACAAGGACATCCGGTCGTGGGTCCCACGGTCTCGCCTCTGAGCCACACAGGGTCCCGGCCCTTACAAGGATAGCGGGGCTAGGGGTCTCAGGGCCCTATCTCTTCCTCCTCCGTCTTCTGTCTTCACTGGTTGCCAACTCCCCGAGTGCTGCTGCACATCGCCCTATATAGCCCTCCACTCCAGGGGGCGGGGCCTATGCGGACCGCGATGTGGACACCTGCCTGCGGACCGCGATGTAGCCACACCCGACGCGCTCTCACACGATCCCCCCCTGCCAGCACGTACCGCCACTACACATGTATAGTGGGAATTTCATCAGGAGGGAAAAACAACCGATGACGCAGTACAAGCTGGTAACAATGCACCTGTCATAAATATTTTAATAATTGCTTTTATTGGTCACAGACAAGTTTCATCTTGTTCTGGTGCATTAAGCTCGGGCCTTAACCCTCGTGTGAGTGGGCAGCTTTAGTCAGTTTATTGCAGCTCAAGAGAAACATGTTCGGTTGACTGTGAAAGAGACAGGGGCATGGGTTGAGATGATGGAGTGAGGATTGTCACCTTTTAATGAGCGAGAATAGATGCCGAGGACTGTGATCAGTCGGACATTCTCAATCATCATTATGTATATTGTATGCGGTAAAGACAACAAAACTAAACACCAAAAGCTGTTTTAAAGAAATTAGTTTTCAATCTAGAGAGATAATTTTTCAAACAGGAACGCCTGTCACAGGAGTCGAGTAGATGCAGCAGGGGCTGGTGGTGGGTGGGTGAGTGGGTGGGTGGGTGGATGGGTGGGTGGATGGGTGGGTGGGTGAGTGAGTGGGTGGGTGGGTGGATGGGTGGGTGGGTGAGTGAGTGGATGAGTGGGTGGGTTGGCGAGTGGTGGGTGGGTGAGTGGATGGGTGGGTGGGTGAGTGGATGGGTGGGTGGATGAGTGGATGGGTAGGTTAGTTGATGGGTGGGTGAGTGGGTGGGTGAGTGAGTGGATTGGTGGGTGGGTGAGTGGATGGGTGAGTGGATGGGTGAGTGGATGGGTGGGTGAGTGGATGGGTGGGTGGGTGAGTGGATGGGTGGGTGGGTGAGTGGATGGGTGGATGGGTGAGTGGGTGCGTGAGTGGGTGGGCGAGTGGGTGGGAGAGTGAGTGGATAGGTAGGTGGGTGAGTGGATGGGTGCGTGAGTGGCGCGTTCTGCCTCAACACTCTGGGTAGCACGATCCGGTAAAGCAATGGCGAACAAATATGATTTTTGTAATTGTATATGTGTGGGCTGTTAAGTTTAAAGGTAAATAGATTTAAGTGAAAATAACAATCTTAAAACAATACACACATACTATATTAGACATAATATTGGTGTATTTTTACGTAAGGTCACATCTGTATTTTTTCTATTACATTTGGTTAGCTGGTGACAAACTATATTACACCTGCAAATGTTGTCAGATTGATTCGTCACTTCTGCATCTTGATACATTTCAATCGTTCGACAAAAATTTCGCGACTTTCCTGACCCCTTGTGAATGTGTTTTTCCTTGCTCTGAAATGTTGTTATATTTTTTTACGTGAATTGCTTTTGCTTGCAATTGTAAAACTCACTCGATATGAATTTTTGTTTTTATCAAATAGAGTGCTCTTAATTTAATCGCAGCAGATTTTATATTTTGGCATTTTAAAAAACGCATTGTTTTACTGAAGCAAGACATTTGTAAAGAACTGATGTTGTGGGGGATTTTTTTGGTAAGCTTGAGAATTACATATTTGTGATACGTGTGTGTTGATGGAACACAAATGTGACCGTGTGTTTCTTTTTCTATGTGGAGGTGCGATGCCCAAGAATGAGTTCTGACAGGATATTAGCTTTGTGGACATTAACACTCCACGGACTGCTGGCGACGATAAACCCTGAATTAGGAGCTGGAAAAGAGTCTGCGTGTTCGATTGTCATCCATGACCTGACTCACGGCCATATCTCCTCAAAGGAACTGCCGCACAGGAACGCCTTGAACTGTGTGTGGACGGTGCTTAACCCTGATCCCGCTGTCTACTCAATATTTCTAAGGGCCACAACTGCCAATGCGAAGATTTGCAACAGCATCAGCGTAAAAGTCAATTCCCTGGATTACAATCAGCAAAAGGACAATCAGACCGCTCACGGAGCGGACTATGGAGACGTCATGGAGCTGTGTGACTCTGAATCTTACAAGCACCCGCTTTTCACTTGGTGGGATTACAAACACTCGGTGCAGGTGAGAATTGGCATTTCCCAGGCCGGGCCCTCTCGACATTGGAAGACTTTGACTCCGGCAAGTGTCAAAAAGATGTGGTCCACGCTGGATAGAAATGGAGAAGCAGTGGTGGAAATTGTCTTTCTCAACACGGTGCAGCCGAACGAGTCAAGCTGCCGCGTGATCTGCGACTGGCTGGAAGGCTGCCTCGCCTCTGGTGGAGCCCAATGGGAATGTACAGTTGGACAAGTGCCTTGCAAGTGCCAACCCGTGGAGATCCCTTCCGCATCGGATCGTTTGCCGTGCGAAACACCAGCGGGCCACAGAGACATTGGATGCAGCTACTACGAGAGTGACAGTCCTTTGCCAGACCCTTTTGCTGTCAACATGGAAGGTAACCTGGTCTCTTGAGTCACCATTAATGCCATTGCTCATGGTGTCATGGAACTATGATTCATCTGACGTTGCTGACATGATGACCCTTACATGTTCTTTGCTCATCTTCTCATGCGTGTTCCCCTGTTTTGGGTGCCAAGTGCCCCATCTTGGCTGCCGTGTTTGTTCCCAGTGTCATGCCTGCTAACTTTCCATCCCAAGTGTTTGCATTTCAATCGTGAATAATCATTATGTTTACTTCTCGCCCCTTCATTTCATTAGAATCGTGTTACTTTGCATGGTTTTCATATTTTTTACAAGCACATTGTCAGTGGACTTGCTAAAGCAAATTGTTCCTCCAGACAGTCTATTAAACATAACCTCCATCCACTTTAAGTTATGTTATTCATAGTTCTAATCATGATGAATCTTGAGTTAAGTGTCTTGCAAATGTATTTGTAGTTTATGTTACAGACTATCCCTAAATGTGTAAGTTTTTTTAAAAAGAGTATTATATATTATGTTGTTTTCTCGTGTTCATTTTGAAGGCTCTGTTCCATGCTTTCCTTAATTAGCTGCTTAATCTGTTGCGTTTTGTGCACGTCTTGCTGTAATTATGCGATCAAAAAACCTCAGTGAATCTTCTATTGGTTGAGCTTGTATGTTGCAAATCACCCCACCCAAATGTTTACATTGCCACTGTTTACTACTGCAGTTGAAGTCAGGATATAATCATTTAGGCTTTACATCACTTTAGAACTTCCTGCATAAATACTTGCCACCATTATAGACTGAGCATATCACTTGTAATGTTTGTAATCAGGTTTGCACATTAAACCATTTCCCCACCATGTTTTCCCCACACCTCTGATTAGCACAGTTAGCTACGTATGGTGCCAAAGAAGTTCAACATACATACATATATGCACCCTCGTCAATTAATCTATATAAATACATCCACTCAGATGCGCTACCATACATGTTTCTTATACAAAAGGCATCCCAGAGTGTGTTCCCATCTAGTATCACTTTCATTAGGTATCGATAATGTACATTTCTAAAAGAATTTGCATTTATATTACACTGGCAGGAAGTACCCGGCTTTGCCCGGGGAAAATGTATATATATTTCAAAACTTGTCTTCTTTTAAAAAACATAACATATACATACACAAATACTAAGCTAATATAACAGCCCGGCATTCCATTTGTCCAATTGTCCATCAAAAAATATTATAAGAGCCTTTCAGAAGGCCTAAATCAAAACGTTATAGACAGTGGGGGTAAAAGGTTGAGCCAACAGGTATAAAAAAAATTGTCGACAGCCCTCCCTCGAATTTTTTTACCCCCCCCCCCCCCCACCAAACAACTTATTTTGTAGGTATATATACCTACACACCCTACATACAATAGAATCAGTTGTATCTACTGACCCTATAGTAGTATATACTGACTCTAGAATAGTATTTACTGACTCTACAGTAATATCTGACGACTGACTCTACAGTATTATCTACTGACTATAGTAGTATATATTTAACACGTAGGATTTCACAACCAATATCATCCATAATAGAGGTTTTTGCGTTAGATCGCGTAAACATATAAATGTGTCGTTAAAACCCACCACCACCCGACACAGCCAACTAGTAAGAGTTGTCACGTAAACAATACAATCAAAGATTTACTCGATGAAGGTACCTACCTTAAAATTAAACGAGACCCATCCAGCACCTTGGAACATAAAACAACGGCAATCATTGCCAAGTCATCAATTCCCAAGGGAGAGCAATACCTGATCAAACCAAGGGCATAAAAACCCACCAAGACTTTATGGGCTACCAAAAATTCACAAACCTGATGTCCCATTAAGACCCATTGTTAGTACAATAGGCTCTGCCACGTACAAATTAGCACAATATGTAATTAAACAAATACAGCTCTACATCGGTAGGAACTCTTCGTTCATCAAAAACTCTAAACATCTCGTAAATATAATTAAAGATATTAAGCTTACCCATAATGATATTTTTGTAAGTTTTTACATGACCTCTCTGTTCACGAGGGTTCCAGTCAACGAGTCAATTAAATTACTCGACACTCTGGTAACGAACAAAGGTTTAGCCAAAGATATCCCAAGATTAGCTGAACACTGTCTAAAGAACACTTACTTCTTGTGGCAAGGTGACCTCTATAAACAAAAGGAAGGCGCAGCAATGGGCTCTCCTTTGTCTCCTGTGATAGCAAATTTGTACATGGAAGATTTTGAAACAAAAGCTTCAAGCACAGTAAAATCATCTGCTTGGTTTAGATATGTGGATGACACATTGGTGGTCTGGCCACACGGCAAAGATACACTGGACGCATTTATAAATCATCTCAACTCGCAAAACCCATCCATCCAGTTCACCATGGAAGTGGCAGCTGACAGAACTCTACCATTTCTGGATATTCTGCTCGGACGGGGTCAAAATGGTAAAATAACACACGGTGTTTACCGAAAGAAAACGCATACTTACGCCTATCTGAATGCAGAGTCGCACCATCACCCCGCACAGAAATCTGCTCTTATCTTGACGTTCATTGATCAAGCTAAGAAAGTGTCAGATGGTGACAGTCTGAGAAGTGAAATTCAACATGTTAAAGAAGCGCTGCAAATGAACGGTTCCAATGGTGCACAAATCAGCAGAGCATTGAATACCAAAACCAAATCGTATAACAAGAGCATTGAAACTGCCCAAGTAATTAAAACGATCAAAATTCCGTACATTTCGGGAGTAACTGATAACTAGCCAGATGTTTGGAAAAACAAAACATCCGAGTTATATTTGGCACGGTACATAAAATACAGAAATTCATATATTTGGTTCTTTCGGTAAAGTCATGTCGGTGAAAAAAAACTAAATTTAATTATTTAATTTAGTTATTTTCATTTTTATTTTCACCTACGTGACTTTTCCGAAAGAACCAAAGAGTATGGATCCTTGCAGTCACGAAAACTTCAAATCTAGAAATTAATATCTGGTACAAAACATGTATTACCGAAGCTATCAACAGAAGGTGTGTACTGGATTAACTGCACATGTGGTAAATGTTTTGTTGGGCAAACAGGATGAATGATCAGCACGAGACTAAAAGAACATCAGATAAATATTAAATTCTCCCAAATACAACTGTCAGCAGTAGCAGAACACGCTTGCCAACAAGGACACTCAATTGATTTTGATAATGTTTAAATTTTGTGCAAAACTAGCTCCTACTGGCCAAAACTAATTAGAAAATCTATCGAAATTGAAAGAAATCAAAATAACTTTAACCGTTCGGATAGCTACCGTCATAGTGTGACGTGGAAGCGAATAATATAAAACCGGATTCCCACCACCATCCATCCCAGAAGAATTCCCTCATCAAGACTCTATATCATAGAGCCCAATGCATCTCCGACCATGAACACATTTCCAGTGAACTCAAACACGTACGCCAAGCTCTTAAGGCTAATGGTTACTCCGACTACACAATCCGCAAAGCCATCACTCCAACCATCAAGAAGGATCCTGTTGAGGAACCTTTCAAGACCATCACCTTACCCTACATTGCTGGGGTCACAAAAAAGATCTTCAAAATCCTGATTAAACACAAGATCCAGGTCCGATTCAACACAGTACATAAAATCCGTGATCTGGTACCGTCTGTAAAAGATGTGGTTCCAGACATACGGTACCCTGGCGTCTACAAACTAAGTTGCCTCTGTGGTAGCAGTTACATTGGGGAAACCAAACGACATGTCTCGGACCGCATCCGTGAACATAAAGCTGACCTGAAACACGGTAGGACAAACACCTCAGCCGTGGCAGATCACTGTTACAACTCAGTGGGCTCACATGATATTGACTTCTCCAAGACAGAGGTTCTCTGCAAGCCATCTGGCTATCATGAGAGATTCGTTCATGAGGCGATCCACATATACAAACACAGAGACAATTTTAACCGAGAAGATGGATTCTGGCTTAGCAATCATTGGAAGGACGTAATAAACCATTTCGACACACATTAGGGTGGGTAGAATAATACATAGTGTTATATTAAATGTATAAGGTATAGGTTGGTTTACAGCAATACAGTATATAATTTAATGTTGGCAGTATATAGTACGGTATATGCTCGTGTGATACAATAGAATAAAGTTTAGATGGAAGCATATTATATAATTTTTACGACGTAGAATTGTAATGTATTACTTGCTGTTAGTAACTCAGCTTAGTGTAGAGTATAGTAAGTATACTGATGGTGCTATGCAATTTATACTTTAGTTTTTTATGTAGTTTATACTTTAGTTTTCTACGTGGTTGTTGAGTAACTGCAGCTACATATCATTAACATTCCTTTCCTTTGTTACTGCTAATCCCTGCACCCCCCCTTGGTGCTGTTGATCCTGCATAATGCATGGGCATAATATGACTTTGAAACCCCCCCGCCCACCTCCTACGCATTTTCCATGAATATGCTAAATTCCTCTTCATATGCACATTCTTTTGTTAAGGTGCTCTTCTTCCACCTCCAACGCAGCTTATATATAAGCTCCTAGCTTGGCATTGTCTCATTCTTCACCTGAGGACGGCTGCTTGCGTTGTGGCCGAAACGTCGTGAGAATTGTTTTATTATGTTTTATTTTTATTATTTTATTACTTCCCTTCTACGTGACTTTACCGAAAGAACCAAGAAGAATCAAATAATACATTGTTTAAATGCATGCCAACAAAGGTCAGCGTACTTCAATAGGGGTTACCGTTGGTAGGGCTATTTTAATAAACACAATAGACAGGAAGGCAAGTTCAAAGGGCTCGCATGATGCACATGCATCATGTACATTGCCTCAGTAATTCCCCCTCCCCCCCACATTGTGCAAGAGCGCAGAAGGGTGGTCACCAGATCAATGCTTCTATATAAGGAACGAAACAGGAAGACTTCTCCACAAATCTGGCTGTCGCCTGATGAAGCTAATTGTAATTATTGGCATAACGTCGTACTCAGATTATAAATGTTGTGGCTTTGGCTCTCCAACACACCGGTGTGCTGTACTAATGACAAATTGACATGGGCTGTTTACGTGACAAACCGAACTGATTGGCTGTGTCGGGTGGTGGCGGGTTTTAGTGACATTTATATATTTACGCAATTTAACCCAAAAACCTCTATTATGTATAGTAGTATCTACTGACTCGACAGTAGTGTTTACTGACTACAGTAGTATCAACTGACTCTATAATCGTAACTACTGACTCAGTGTACATTTTACAAAGTTTTATTATCCGAGTTTAGACTGGACCAAAGGTAAAAACAAATATCATATCTTCATCTCGGGGCTCAGATTATTGTATGCCTGTACTTTGTTAACATGCAAACCCAATAGTGTGTCCGTTACAAGCGTTACAAGGAAGGTGGACACACACAGACAGAGCGACAGACAGAAAAAAAATGGCTTTTATAGTTAAGATGACTTAAATGCCCCAGCAACTCAAAGTGCCTCACAACTCATCTAAAACATTCAAAAGACACCCTCAGTGGCAGTTGTCCCAGTGTGTAGCACAATGTTACTCAAAATTGGTCTGCAAATGGGCATTGGTCTGCCAGTAGGAGGTGATAACTCCTATGTGTCATCCCAAATGAGTAATTTCTGGGGATTTTTCAAATGTGGACCATCACACCTGCACACAGTGGCCTACCCGCCTTCAAATGTTGTCCACTGTACAGCAAATACTATGACCACCATCAAAATGTCACCACAGGGACCTCCACTCCTTAAAATCAACCAGCCAGAGCTGTTGCATAACCGACTTCCAACCTGATGGACTGTTTTACAGTATTTCCGTGATCTGGCTTATGGTCTTTCTCTTGGTCTCTGACCTTTATGCGATCCCTCAGCTCAGGAGACAGGGTCTCCTAAGCCACCTATTACAGCCACTTTGGTGCCTCTGCTGGCTCTCACCTTTGAGCCACCCGGCCACCCCAATTAAGTTTTTATTCTTTCTCTTTAATAGAGTTCAAAAAGCCATGTTAGAGATAATTGTCTTGGACAGGTGTGTACACCAATCTTAGCAATGCTTATGTTCCTGATAGAATCAACGTATATCCACTGCAAGTGGTGTATGCATGATGTAGCATCCGTCCATCTACCGGTCATTACTGCGGGCAATATGCGTTATTAGTGGTGCCTGCTGTGTGTTTTATTGGTTTTATGAGTTCGAGCAGTCGTTGAAATAAGTAGGGCGTCCATAAAGGTTATTCTCTCTTACTAAATAACATACAAACAGCGGTGTAACCTGTGCAGTTAAAACGTTGGCAACATATAGCTTACGTACACTGCTTACATTATTTCTTAGTTTTTACCACTCTATGTCAAGATATGTAGCAGAGCGCCAACACAACGGTGGCCTGGCGAGGGAGGGGAGAGAGTGAAACGTGTAACATTCTTAGAACGTGAAGTTCTTCAAATATCCTACGCGTAAGTGAGAGAATTCCAAGGGGTATTTGTGCAAATCGCAGAGCATTTTGCACTTCGATTTTGAAAACCGGGAGGAGGGAACGGTGGCAAGGGGGGGGGGGGCACAAACAATATGGAAATGCACTCTGGTAAGCCGCCCACGTCCTGGAGAGGCTATTGAATGAGCTGATGCAGTCGTGCGTGGCGCGTGGGTCCACGAATGTCGATTCGATGAACTTCGCCAGCACTGGGTATTCTCCGCCACGGCGCAGTCGACAGCATCTTGCACGAGATTCTAACAAACGCAGCCTCCTTGCACGCTGAATGCCTGCGCTTGTGTTTGAGGAGTGGATTATGAAGGTTACGAAAGTTATAGCGAGCTCTGAGTTACGATGTGCAACAAACAGTGGAGCATGATGTTAAAACCTGAGGCTAATCATATTTTGCAGATCAAACAACATTTTTAGGATATTGGAAATTCGCTTTTTTTACAAGCTGAAAATCCTCGTGGAAGCATTGAACATGAGGTGCCTGCCCGAAAGTCAATGTGCATGCAGGCATAATGCAAATGAAATGTCGTGTAATTGCAAATTATACCCTGTAATAATCCCAAGTATTTTTGCGTTGACAAATAAATATGTGACGAGAAGTCCAAAATTTATGAAGGATACAGTAACATCTTACAATACACCTTCATATTATTATTATATTAAATTATTAGAGTACTTAGATTTAATGAGCACACCATGTTATCATTTAAAATGCCTCTAAAGATGAATTATAGGCACATTAATTCTTAGTCTTACACCCCCTAATTATACGTGGCATATTTTACGTTTCATACTCTTTGGTTCTTTCAGTAAAGTCACGTAGGTAGAAAATAATAATAGAGTATGGATTCCTGCAGTCACGAAAGCTTCAAATCAAGATTTTAGGTTTCATATTCATCGGATATGTAAATGACGAGACAAACCCATCACAACAGAAGAAAGTGAAGGCAGGAGGATCGTAAGTTCCAACGACACACAGAACGTGTGCAACACACTCGCCCTTGGTGCATTACACAAAACCCATGAGCGGCTTCCTAGAAGAGCTGGACTGTGGTCCTCAAAGGAAGTTTGACTGCTCAAATTAGTCCAATTGCAAGTGACTCTCATAATCTATTGTTGTAAATTTCACATTTACTGTGGCAAGCTTCACTGTTGACATGCCACAAAGAGCTTTATAGCTCATCGGATTCCTCCAATAAAAATACATTGTTCTGATTCTGATGTTGGCAGAACAAATACTACAAGCACAGCCACAGATCCGTTCTCGAAGCCAATTCTCTTTGCCTAAAAAACAGAATAGAATATCGCTTTCCCCCCGTCTCTCTCTCTCTCTCTGTTGTTGGCACTGTTCCCCAGGATGGGGTTTTGTTATATTCCTGCTTGAGCATGTTATTTACAAGTACATTGGCACATATTGGTAGAGTGAGGCGTGAAATATATGAACGCTGTGTTACTGCTTGTCCCTTTGATTTTCCTGCCCTTTCGTGTTCGGAGTTTCCAGGGATTAGATTTGAATGGTTGTTCTGACTCAGATACCTTGTTCGATAGGAGCAATGTCGTGCAATGGTCGTTCGATAATTATTAATACACTCTGGATATTGTTATTTGTCCAGCTTTCTGATTAGTTTGCTCATCCGATCAGAACTTTCGCTGGCACGTGGCACATTTGCCGCGTGAGATTTTTTTCCTGTTTCCTTCGCTATAAATATTGCCGCACGGAATCGCGTTCACACGCATTGACTGTCGATTATATATAATTTAAAAAAGACGCATGAAACAAATATCGATAAACGTATCGCGAATTGCTCGAACGTCTCGTTTAGTGCACACCCCGCTGACGTGCCCGTGCCATGTGACTCTCCAGAAGCCGGGTGGAGCGCCTGGTCCCCGTGGAGTCCCTGCTCACGCACGTGCTCCGGCGGTGTCCAGTTGCGCATCCGCACTTGCCTCCCTTCTGCCCGGCCTGGAAGCGCCCCGTCGTTCTGCCCGGGAAATGATGAACAGGGCCGGGAATGCAACAAGCACAAGTGCCACAGTAAGTGGTGGGGTACTTTGTAAGGGCAGCACATGCTAATCAACTGTGAGTAACAATCATCTTGCTCTATTTAAGACCGGAAGCAGGTGGATTGCTTCACTATTCTGGCAAATCTCCCGATAATGATGGATGTAATTGCCAGAGAAACGTCGTACTACTCAAATTGTAAATGTTGTGGATTTACTCTCCAACACACGGGTGGACTGAAGTAGTAACTAATTTGCGTGTTTTGTTTACGTAACAAACCAAACTGGCTGTGTCGGGTGGTAGAGGGTTACGACACATTTATACTTATGCAATCTAACCCAAAAACCCTTATTCTTTGTGTCTTTCGGTAAAGCCACGTAGATAGAAAATAATACAATTAATAAAATAATAACAATATCAAGACGTTTCGATCGCAATACAAGCAATCGTCATCAGGTGAAAAATATAGCGGGAGAGCTGCTGAGGCAGGAAGAGAGTTATAAAGGTTTGAGATGGGTGTAGCCCAAGGGTCAGCAGGCGGGGCTAGAGATGATATTTGCATGTAAATGTAAGATCGGAGAAATCTTGACAAATGAAGCTGTGGGGGCGGCCATTGAATTGTGAGAGATTAGCATGTCAATGTAAGAAATTTGCGTGTAAATATAAGATCGGAGAGAGCTCGGAAAGCGAACAACGGTGGCTGTGTAAGTGAATGTGACCCAAAAACCCTTATTATGGTCGACCTCTGTTGACTTGTGTTGACAACAGCTGTGGCCGTGGACAAAAACTCGCGTTGCTCTCCTCGTTCACTGTACAAACTCAGACGAATGTGTCAGGTCGGCGCTCAGTCTATCATCCCGGCCTCTACATTCCCAGTCTCCACTGTCCCTCTCTGTGCCTCCCTCGCCCTGTGCCCAGCCTCGCTTTCATTCCTTCTTGCTCCCCTTCACTGTAGCAAACACCCACTGCACATAAAACAATCATCTTCACTGACCAGCTTCTGTGCCTCCCTTCAAACAACCCCCATCTCTTCTCCCCTAGCCCATCATCGTCCTACTAAAACTACTCCGTGCACGCGCCCCCCAGCTACAACCAGGCCTACCCCAACCCTTATAACGATCCCTATCCCCACCACTACCCCTATAACTACCCCTATCACTACCAAAACACATATGACTACCTCTATCACTGTCACTACCCCTATCTCCACCCCTGTCGTTACCCCAACCCCTCCTTAACCACTCCCACCCATCCTCCTAACTGCCACGATAACTACACCACCACTGTTAATAACCCCACTCTTTATTTCAGCCACTATCATCTTATGTACAACTTTATAATTGTTGCAAAGCGCCTTGGAATAAGACGTTATGTACATTTATATCAGATTTTTTAAAACACTGTGCATTCTAATGTAATAAAGTTCAATACAATCCTGGAACCAGACCTCTGTACATATCAATTCTGCCACCACCCGAACACGGATGCCAATTCCCGGACTGTCTGGATGAAAACCAGACAGGTGACAAACAACCCTACAGAGGACACTGATTGGTTATTCTGAAGCAGTATATTCTGTACTTGTCGTGGATTACACCTTGCGCGGCTGTAAATACTGCCTTACGTTACATCTATGCCATCTTATAACAGGTGTCACTTGCTCGTACTCCTGAAGACGTGTGTCCATGTGTATGTTTGTGTATGTTTGTGTATGTTTGTGTATGTTTGTGTATGTTTGTGTATGCGAATGTGTCCGCTCCTCTACCCTACGAACCCAGCAACCTGAGTTCGATTCCCGAACACAGCCAACACCAGTGACGATTATCTACATCCTTCCTGGGCCTCTCCTAGTTCGACTCAGCCTCAAATAATTACCTGGTGGGATGTATAAATATCGTCACTGGGGAGACTGCCGGGCATGGTGCTGGCCACCTACTTCCTCGTGTGCCGTGTCGGCCTTCATAGGTGCTCGCTAACAGCACTTGCTCCTACAATCTGTTACAGGCTATACGGGGATCTTTGTCTTTGCAGCGTTAGACCCTCTACTTGCATTGACACTGTCGCTTAGAGGAAGCTGTCACCCCTCCTCTAAGTGCACTCCTGTCAGTCTCATTTATGTGTCACTACAGCCCAGGATGACTTGGGGAGTGATTAACATTTCAGCTTGAGCTGACGCTTCTTCCTTTGTGGCTGGCTCTAAGTCTCCAAGACTCCGTGACTCCTCTAAGTGGGCCTTCGCGGCATGTAGATTTGCGCCTGGTGTGCCCTGATCCATGCAGGCTGCATGGTTCCCTTCCCGAGGCCTGTGCCTAGCGTGGTCTCCGTGGGACGGGCGGTTTCCTCTAGAGCAACCTGCAGTGTCCCTGCCACTGTGGGGCAACCATTTTGGAGCATGTCGGGGGGAACTCGCTGTCTTGGGCACTCAACCTCCGCCGCTCAGCCGCATGGCCCTCGTTACCGATACACAAGACAACAGCAAATTCTGTTCTCCACTCAGCGGTGGTGACATAACGACAGCCCTAGCGCTAAGCGAGGTGTACTGTACGGGCATGTCAAATGCCAAAGGCTCACTGGCAGGAAGTCACAGGACAGACGCAGGTGTTGTTATCACCGCGAGCAATGCTCACACTGCCCACGGTTACAGCCGCACATGCCTGACCGTCTGCACGCCTTCCGGCGGAAGCAGTTTAGATCCCAACGGTGGACTGGCAGCCTTTTTCTCCCTCCTGAGCGTTTGAACTTTCCACATCACCTTCCAAATCAACTGTCTGTGGTTTCCAGAGATTTGTTGAGGTGGGGTTTTCAGTTCCCTGCCTCCACCAAATGAGATTTGGCAAGGCGACACCTGTGCCCCCAGGACCTCTGGTACATGCTTATAACACACGAGCACTCACACGCCACATAGAAACAAATAATAACCCCTTCAGCGGGAAACCATCTGTGGTCATTAAAATGAGTGATGCCACTTTTTTTGCGAGAAGTCAGCTATTGGATTATACAGACTTACCCGGGAAATGTGTGCTTGCTACTGCTAACTCAGGGCCACTGAAGGAAAAGATCGCAAGGAATTAACTTTGTCCGTGGATCACGAAGACAAAGATACCCCGTATAGGCTTAACATACTTGTGGGGCAAGTGCTGTTAGTGAGCACCTATAAAGGCGGACATGGCACACGAGATGGTGGGTGGCCAGCCCCACTCCCGGGCGCTTTTTTTCTCCAAAGTGGCGATGTTTACACACTGCACCAGGTACTCATTTAAGGCTGAGTCGACCTAGGAGATGCCCAGGACCGGTTCAGGTGATCGTAACCAGTGTTGGTGGCCGTGAGTAGGAATCGAACTTGGCTCATCGGGTTCGAGGCACAGCACAGCGGTAACCCCCTACTAGACTACCGCTCCCCTGTAGATGTGAGTGTGTTATAGATCTTTGCAGTGGCATTCAAGATCGTTGTCGCATTTCAAAAGTGAAAAAGCAGGCGAACTTTTAGAGTTGGTGATTGACTCTTTTTTTTTAAGGTTTGTAAGAATCCGCTGGTGAATTTAATGAGGCTTCTCATCGCCACCCATTAATTATGCAATGGGTGGAGATCAAATTGGTTTCCCATGAGATACGTAAATTACCTACCATTAAATGAACTAATCAAACGGTTATGAATTGAGCTCTATCTCTAAGTCATATTTTTTGGCCCATACTTAGAAGCCAGACATATTGGGTGCCACGGATGACAAGATGTTAACTATATCACCTGGTATATCGGCGGTCATGGGTGAGATCCCAACCCTGATGCCTGTATATTTGGAGTTTGCATGTTCTACCCTTGGTCGCGTAGATTTTTCTCCGGATCCTTCAGTTTTTCCCTCCACATTTAAAATCAATGCGCGTTTAGAGTATTTGGCTGATATACATTTGCACATTTGTGGCCACGTCTGTGTGAATAAAGCTGTATAGCTCAGTGGGCCTTGCCTGGTAAAGTAAGATAATACATTTGTGAGAATAGTAATAGTTAGAATCTTCTGCTCCTGCAATCTTTCATTTACTTGATACAGCTGTCGTGGCTGTGACGGTCCCACCTGATGACGGAGACTTGTGTTGCCTCCGAAACGTCGTGATTTTTATTTTTATTTTATTTTTATTTGATGTTTTACTTACGTGACTTAACCGAAAAAACCTAAGAATATGAAATCTAGATCTCAGTATCACCCTTCTCATTAGTGTCAGCAAGTTATCTGTTCCTTGATCAATCTGAAATGGAGTGTTTTGAACGGTAACATCTGTCACTATTAACAGTTAAAAGCCTAAAGCACACTAATGCACTTGGACTTATGGCACTTGTTTTATTAAACTCTTGAATAAGAGATTGGTTATAACTGTTGATGTTATGTACCTGTAAATGTGACACAAACTATTGCTTTCTGAAAGATCTTGTAAAAGACAAGGGCAAAATGCACTTGTTTTAAAGTTTAATGATAACAGGCCACTTTGCATTACTTATAACTTTTGTTTAAAATGTTCATGAGGCAAAGATATTTAAATCATGGAAATTTAAGGTATTCTATACACTTTGGTTCTTTCGGTAAAGTCACGTATAAAGATTAAATAATAAATTAAATAATAATTATTTTATCTTGACTGCAGGGATTCATCTTCTTGGTTCTTTCGGTAAAGTCACGTAGAAGGGAAGTAACAAAATAATAAAAATAAAACATAATAAAATAATTCTCACAACGTTGCGGCTACAACACAAGCAGCCGTCTTCAGGTGAAGAATGAGACACTGCCAAGCTTGGAGCTTATATATAAGCTGGGTTAGGAGATGGAAGAAGAGCGCCTTAACAAAAGGATGTGCACACCAAAAGGAACCCAGCATATTGATGGGAAATGCGTAGGAGGTGGGCAGGGGGGGTTTCAAAGTCATATTATGCCCATGCATTATGTAGGATTAGCAGCATCAAAGGGAGGGGGTAGGGGGTAGCATTAACAAAGGGAGGGAATGTTAATAGTATGTAGAAGCCACGAAACATGTAAATGGGAGAG